AAGTGCTGGGGTTACAGGCATGAGCCACCGTGCCCAGCCTATACTTCATTCTTATAGTACACACCTGTTATGTACCAGGTACCTTCCAAAGTGATGATGAAATAATGACTATTTTAAAAAGGCTTTTGAAATAGAAATTGACCAGGCTTTGGCAGCGGAAGACACATGAACAGTGTAGACAGTATAGGAAGCAAGGAGAGAGATGGCACAATGTGAGGCTAGAGGTAGGGAGGCAGGAATTAGCCCTGTGTAGGATTTCAGTCTTGATTCTGGAAGCAATGAAAAGCTGTTGGACTATTCTGAGGAAGGAGATACTATATTGTAATGTTTGTGTTTTTAAAAGGCCACTGTGGCTTGCAGTTTAGAAAACAAGTTGGAGAAACATGAGAGAGTATAAAAAGACAGTTAAGATGGTTTTACATTAGTTCAGAGAAGAAATGCCGTAGCTTAGTCCAGGGTAATAGCAGGAATGGTGGTAGAAGTTCAGGAGATATTTGGAAGGTAAAATGAACAACATTTAAATATGGAAGATGAAGACAAGGAAGAGCCAAGGGTGACCTCCAGTGTTTCTGACTTGCACAATTGGAGTATGACCAGGTTAGATGGAAGTTGGTTAATGGTTAGGTTAGTTGTTAACAGGGTAGATTTGAGGTGTTTCTGCTACATCTGAAGGTAATGCAAGTAAAAGAAAGTTGGAGATATATGCCTGGAACTCAGAGAAGCAGCCAACACTAGAAATATAAACATGTGAATCATCTATACAGAGGTAGTAATTAAAGCCATGAGTTGAATGAGATCACCTACAGAGAAAGAATCAAGTCAGAACAGGGGAGCGTTTAGGACTGAGCCTTGAGCAATTTCAAATTTAAAGGCTGGTAGTGGAAGATGAGAAGCCAAAGAAAATCGAGAGAGAGTGAATGGGGGAAGTTGGGGGAGGGCACCAAGAAGGAGCTGTGGCACAGAAGGCAAGGGAGGAGAGTATGGAGAAGAAGGACTACACAGGATCCATTAGATTAAGCATTGCAGAAGCTTAGCTAGAGTTATTTTGGGAGTGCCCCGTGGCCTGAAAATACACAGAATTAGGTTGAGGAATAAGTGGGAGGTGAAGTGAAGACAGTAAGTATAGCTACCTTATTCAAGTAATTTGGTTGTGATAAAGAGAAGAGAGATAAGACCATAACTAGAGGGGGATGAAGGGGTAAGTTAGGTCTCAGTTTTTTAATGGGAGAGATTTGAATGTGCTTAAAAGGCAAATGGGAGCAACTCAGTTGGAGCAAAAGGTGAATCTGGAGAAGAGTCAGGAGATAGTTGTTAGAGTTAGGAAGCAGGGATGGGACCTAGACAGTGAAAAAAATTAGTGAAAAAATAGTCTAATGGAGCAATGGAATGTAATAAAAAGCCCAGAAATAGACCCATACAAATATAGTCAGCTGATCTTTGACAAAGGAGCAAAGGCAATATAATAGAGCAAAGATAGTCTTTTCAACAAATGGTGCTGGAACAACTGTATATCCACATGTAGAAAAAAAAGAATCTAGACACAGACCTTATACTCTTAACAAAAATTAACTCAAAATGGATTATAGACCTAAGTGTAAAATGCAGAACGAAAAACTCCTAGAAGACAACACAGAAGAAAAGAGATGGCATTGGATGTGGCATTGATTTTTTTAATACAACACCAAAAGCATTATCTATGAAAAAAATAATTGATAAGTTGGACTTCATTAAAATTTAAAACTTTTGCTCTATGAAAGACACTGTCAAGAGAATGAGAAGACAAGACCCAGATTTGAAGAAAATATTTGCAAAAGACATATCTGATGAAGAATTGCTATCCAAAATATGCAAAAACACTTAAAACTCAACATTAAGGGCTGGGCACAGTGGACCATGCCTGTAATCCCAGCACTTTGGGAGGCCAAGGCACGTGGATCACTTGAGGTCAGGAGTTCGAGACCAGCCTGGCCAACACGGTGAAACCCCATCTCTACTAAAAATACAAAAATTAGCCAGGTGTAGTGGCACACACCTGTAACTCCAACTACTTAGGAGTCTGAGGCAGGAGAATCACTTGAACCCAGGAGGTGGAGGTTGCAGTGAGCCAAGATTGTTCCACTGAACTAACTACGGCTTGGGCAATAGAGTGAGACTCCATCTGAAAAAAAAACAACAGCAACAACAACAAAAAAAAAACCTCAACATTAAGAAAGTAAACAACCCAAATAAAAAAATGGGTAAAAGACCCAAACAGAAACCTCACCAAAGAAAATATACAGATGGCAAGTAAACATATGAAAATATGTTCAACATCATACCTCATTAGAGTGTTGCAAATTAAAACAATAATGAGATATCCCTATACATATATTAGAATGGCCAAAATCCAACACACTGACAACACCAAATCCTTTGGAGGATGTGGAACAACAGGAACTCTCACTGTTGCTGGTGGAAATGCAAAATGGTACAGCTACTTTGAAAGACAGTTTGGCATTTTTTTTTATAACTCTAAATGTACTATTACCATATGATCCAGTAATTGAGCTCCTTGTTATTTACCCAAGTGAACTAAAAAAAATTTTATGTCCACACAAAAACCTGCACATGGATGTTTATAGCAGCTTTATTCATAATTGCCAAAACTCAAAACTAACCAAGATATTCTTCTGTAGGTGAGTGGATAAACTGTGATGCTTTCAGACAATTGGATATTATTCAGTGCTAAAAAAGAAATGAGCTGTTAAGTCATGAAAATACATAGAGGAAACTTAAATGCATATTACTAAGGGAAAGAAGCCAATCTGGAAAAGCTGCATACTATATGATTGCAATTCTGTGACATTCAGGAAAAGGTAAAACTATGGAGATAGAAAAGATTAGTGGTTGCCAGGATGTTGATAGTGAGGGAGACTGTGTGTGTGTGTATGTAGGGGTATAGGGACAAGAAATATATGGGATTGCTATACTTTCTACTCAATTTTGCTGTGAATCTAAAACTGCTCTAAAAAAAATAAAATGTATTAGTTTTTTTAAAAAATGAAGTTGGATCCCTAATCTATCATATTAAAAAATAACTCCAAATGGATTGAAGACCTAAATGTAAAAGGTAAAATTATAAAGCTAATGGAAGAAAATATTGGAGAATACCTATATGATCTCAGTTTCTTTAGGCAAGATCATAAAAGTGCAAGCCATTGGAGATAAGTTGATGAATTTGACTAGAAAAAAGTTATTTCTGTTAAATGAAGAACTGCAAAGGTAAAATTAACCTCTGGGTGACAGAAAGGAAAAGGTATTTGTAAATGATGAGGTATTCATATCTAGAAAATCCCCCAAAACAGCAAGAAAAAGATAATAATATCAACTGACAAAGGTTCTAAGTAGACAATTTGCAGAATGGCAAACCTGAAAAATTTCTGAAGATGGTCAAAATTGCTATCATTAAAATAAGAAGATACTACACTATACGCATCAGATTGGAAACAATTAGAAAGTCCAGTAATAACAGTTACTGGTGAGGATATGGGATAAATTAGGAACACTGGTACATAGCTCTTAGAATAAAATGTATAGCCATTCTGCAATACTCAGTGAAATTAATATGACTATACCCACAACCCAACAACTCAGCAATTCTAAACTCTGGTCCAAGTACAGCAGCATGAGGTTCTTTATTGCATCAGTATTTGTGGAGACAAGGAACTAGAAGTCAGCTAAGTGCCCCTCACTAGAAGAATGTATAAGTGAAATGTGGTTTATTCATACAGTGGAATATTAGGCAACAGTCAGAAACAAATTACATTTACATGTAGTAACACTGACATAGCTTAATAGCATAAAGTTGAATGAAGGAATCATTAAAACACAAAACAATTCTAAATAATACACACACTCAGAATAACATATGTTAAATACTTAGGAGTGAGTGCTAAGTAGAGGAGGAAAAATGGAAGTAGGATAAAGACTATCAAGATAAAAAGTAATAGAAATGATCTTTGCTTTGTCCAGTGCTAAAATTATATGCTAAGCTAAGGAATTTGAGTGACGTCATTCCTTTTGTCTGTTTTCCTAAAAAGAATAGGAACTTTAAAAGTAAAATAAATACAATATAATTTAATAAGATGGTATTTTGAAGATTAATTCAGATAAAGCACTTAGTGCCTAGCACATATTAAACACTCAATGAATGTTATCTATTAATGCTATTAACACTATTCATGATATAGCTACTACCAATCCATTGAAGTTGGCACTTAAAACCAGTTGGATTTAGATTATTTTCCCCAAAAAGATCCTTTCAGGTCTAATATACCATAGGTCTGCAAGAGGAATAGGCAAGTATCACAGAAGGCCCAGAAGTAAGCAGGCAGGAAAAGAGCTGGAACATCCTTGGAGAATGGGAAAGGCTACCATCTTGATGTAGCATCATAGGAAACTGTGATGGTTAATTTGGGAGAATACTGATTAGTAAATATAATGCACTGATTAAGGAAGTAGGAACTGCACTAGTAAAAAGTGCTATGGAGCCGGAAGACTTTATATACTTTGCTATGCTTCCTCTTAAAGGGTGTTTTCTTTTAACATTTAAAATTTTAAGTTCTAAAATTATAACTGAGTTACAAAGTTTGGTTACATAGTGTTTGATTTGAATTACCCTACCCCCAACTTCTTCCTTACCCAAAGTGGGACACAGGTTGTTCTATTGAAATAAGCAAGATCATCACCTAGTGGTTAATTCCTCAAAGTACTGACACAAGATTTGGTCCCAGAGAGCAAAGATGTGCCCAATCCTTGTCCTCATACAATGTTAATTCATTCAACAAGCCTTGAGTGGGACTTTATGCCAGGTACTATTCTGGTGCCTGGGGATACAGAGTTGCTAACACAAAATGACAAGTTTAAAAATAAAATTAAGGAAGTACCAACTTAGAAGCCTAAGTGCCCTCTCAAAGTGATGTTGCATTTTCATATATTTATTTCCCACTGGTTTTCCGTAGATCATAGATGAAGAAGAAACACAGTTTATGAGCAATTGCCCTGTTGCAGTCACTGAAAGCACTCCACGGAGGAGGACGCGGATCCAGGTGTTTTGGATAGCGCCACCAGCAGGAACAGGCTGTGTGATTCTGAAGTAAGTAAACATGGAATCCTTCCCTGCAGTTTATCAAAGACTGTGGTGTGATTGCAGGGGAAAAAAAAAAGTTCTTTACTGAGCATCAGAAAGTTGTGTTATCTCTCTGCCCTCCCTTATCTAAATTCTCAATAGCACCATAGACTGTCATTGGTGAAGTGCTCCCTAAAGATTCATTTGCTGAAATCTCTGTTTTCATCAAATAGGATGTTTCTCCTGGCTACCCTGTCTTGTTAGAGATAATTATACTAGTGTTGGTTAAGAAAAATTACAAACCAGGTGAAGATAATCTTTGACTTTTTCCATCTGGAATTTAACACTTTTTCTTTTCTCAGAACATACAACACCTAGAATCTTTAAACTGTGCCTGGGCTGCCCTGAGACCCACAATGTGACCTCCATTAGCCCCGAGCTCTGCTTTATGATCCTATCTTCTTCCTTCCCCATCAAAATGGCCCTCTGGTGCCACTTCCTATCTGGCCTCCTGATCCTCCTTTCAGTGAGTTATAATAGGTGATAAAAGGTATTAACCAGCTAAAACGGTTTTCCTCTGAAAGGTGGTATTGTCTCAAACCTGTATCTCCAAACTCATGTGCCACAGAATGATGGTTTGGGAAATGTAACAGATGGGTAGGAAAAGCAATTTCTGTGGTCACGTTTGCAAAATACTATGTACTATATACCCTTCTTGCAGATTCACAACACTAGCATAATGAAGGTTTTGCAAAGTCCTGGCAAAAAAAAAAAAAAAAAAAAATCTGTTTAATTTGGTTTCACCCAGTATTTTTCAAACTTGTTTGATTGTAAAGTTCCTTTTTTTTTTAATGGTGACATCTATTAACATTTGCCAGTTTGGTGAAACACAGCCATAATTTAAGTAGTTTTGAAGTCCTATATGGAATGGTGCTGAGAATGTTAGGATTTCATACTGGAGAATTAGTCATGGGTAGATGGGCAGGGCTCCAATCCTAGCATCCAAGAAGTCCATTTGTTTTTTTTTGTTTTTTTTTTGATGGAAGTAGGCACTGAGACCTCCCCAACAGTCTTTTTCTTCTTTAAATCCTTGAAAATCTTATTTATGTATTTGATTCATTTGTCAAATATAGTCATTTTTGACAGACTTACAACTGTAGTTAACTCCAGCCCACCCCTGAGGAGATGCTGATAAGAAAGCCCACCTAGGCCTTGCAGTCCCTGCAGTTCCTAGATTTCCACTGTGCCTGGCTTATGGAAAAAGCCCCAAAGAGACTCTGAAGCATCTGTCCATTGTCCAGACTCAGCCCTGTCATTGTTTGGCCTCCCTTTGCTGCCATCTGTCTGGACATTATTTTTTTCTTTCTTAGTTGAATGCAAGCTGAGCATCCTTTCTCTGGTTCCTTGAGCAGTTTGGCTCTTGACATTAATCTACAGTGGTCATTTAAAAAAATATATCAGTAGAATTTTGAAACATGAAATCATATCTTTAAATGTCAGTGTATAACATGTCTATAGTATCTAGTTAAAATGTGGGAGAAGGCCCTGTGGAAATGAACAAAGACCCCTGAAATGAGAACACAGGCTGTACGTTCAGAGCCTGCTGTATAACAAGGGAGTCAGCTGCCATTACTAGCATTTGGCAGAATCTGAAAGGCAGTGAGAGGACTGGGAAAGCCTTCTAGTGAAAACAAGAGAAGACTGATTGGAGGTTCGTTGGCATGGAGAAAGCTGGAGGCAGGCTAACTACAAGTGGCGCTTCTTATGCGATTGGTTTGGAGGGCATATTTGGCTTTCTGTGGTTAATTCTGAGTTGAAAGTGGAGGAGTTGGTGATGGCAAAAAATAGAGCAGTTGACAGGTCCTGGACAAGTCCTGATATTCTTTATCGGTTGCTGGAGCCCAGAGACGGGGGGTCAGATTACTATGGTCATTGTGATAAATAGCCTTGCTGTTTTCTGTTACTTAGCCCAGAGACTGGGTTCCCTGCTTGCCCCTTGGTGCCCATCCCACTACCCATGACAGCCCAATGGCTCCACAGAGCCTGGAGCGCTAAAGAAGTTGGGTTGAAAATGTCAGATCTTTGTGAAGAGTCTTCCTGCTCCAAAAGCTCTTGTCCCTCTGGCCAGATCTCTGGTTTTCTTTGATTTATTGTTCTTACAACCCAGAAGCATTTGATCTTTTTGGTGGAAGCCAGAAAGCCATCTCTTGTTTACCCATTAACAATTGACATACATGTACATAGTTTATCCATTAGCAATGAACATGTGTGCCTTCTTCATTTACTCATTCTTGCAACAAATGCAACGGAGCTTTTGTTAGCCCAGGCATCCACGATATATATGATGAAGGCATGTTTTCTTAAAAAATTTATTTATTATACTTTAAGTTCTGGGGTACGTGTGCAGATTGTGCAGGTTTGTAACATAGGTATACATGTGCCATGGTGGTGGTTTGCTGCCCCGTCATCTACATTAGGTTTTTCTCCCAGTGCTATGCCCTTCCAATCCCCCACCCTCCAGGCCCCACTGTGTGATGTTGCCCTCCCTGTGTCTGTGTGTTCTCATTGTGCAACACCCACTTATGAGTGAGAACATGCGGTGTTTGGTTTTCTGTTCTTGTGTCAGTTTGCTGAGAATGCTGGTTTCCAGTTTCATCAATGTCCCTGCAAAGGACATGAACTCATCCTTTTTTATGGCTGCATAGTAATTCATGGTGTATATGTGCCACATTTTCTTTACCCAGTCTAGGCATGTTCTTAACCCTGGAGGTTCTTACAAGTCAAAATAAGGGAGAGAGAAAAAGTCAACTAATGTTTTCTGTAGTACCAAGAACTCAATGCACATCTAGCAGACTTTGTCTAATTTGATCTTCACAGAAAACTGCTCCCATTTTACAGAGGAGGATACAGGCCCTGGGGAAATTAGGCAAGTTTTTTAAAGTCATGCATCCTTTTAACATAAAAGTCCATGTTCTGCCTTTCTTGTATTTATTTTTTCTCTGAAGGAATCATATATAAGCTACAACTATTTATTTTTAAAAAGAGTAATTTTATGGGTAAGACATAAATACATTCACATTGTAAATTTCAAACAATATAGAAAGTAGTGAAATACATAAAAATACAGAATAAAGAAAAAGTTAAAAATCCATGGCATCTTGGCTGGGTGCAGTGGCTCATGCCTACAATCCCAGCACTTTGGGAGGCTGAGGCAAGCGGATCACTTGAGGCCAGGAGTTTGAAACCAGCCTGGCCAACATGGCAAAACCCTGTCTCTACTAAAAATACAAAAAAAAATTAGCCAGGCATGGTGGTGGGCCCTTGTAATCCCAGTACTTGGGAGGCTGAGGCAGGAGAATTGCTTGAACCTGGGAGGTGGAGGTTGCAGTGAGCCGAGATGGCTGGGTGTGGTGGTACACATATGTAGTCCCAGCTACTCCGGAGGCTGAGGCAGGAGAATAATTTCAATCTGAGAGGCATCAGTTGCAATGAGCTGAGATTGTGCCACTGTATTCCAGCCTGGGTGACAGAGTGAGACCCTGTCTCAAATACATACATACATACATACATGCAATCCATGGCATCTCTCTCAACAAATTCCAGTTTTCTACATAAAGGCAACAATAGATATTAATTTGGTTTGTATATTTTAGACTTACCTCTGCTTTTACATTCATGAAGGTAATCGTAAAAGTACAGTTTCATTCCTGTGGGAGTGTAAAGTTACACAAATGGTATAGTATATGTAGTGTCCTGAACTTGAATGGTTTTTCGCAAAATAAAATGTATTAGAGATATGTCTAGATTAGTAAATACAAAGCTACCTCTTTTTGTTTTTTAACTGTTGCAGATCTATGGTATGGATGTTAATTATTCCACAGTGAATGGACATTTAGATTGTTTTCAGTGGTTTTACTATGATAAATAATGTTATGATGAATATCCTGATACTTGCCTATTTGAGCAAATTTGCAAGTTTTTAATCCATGGTAGATACCAAGAAATGGGATGATAAGGGATGCACCTTTATAATTTTAACAGATGCTGCCAGGTTTTTCTCCAAAAAGCTTGCCAACTTAAACACTCTCCCTGACTGTGAACAAGAGAGCCTAAATCTTTACTTGCTCAACAGCCCTTGGTATTATCAGTCTTTAAGATTCATAAAGATTGTGTGAAAGGTCCATTCATATTCTTGTCCAGTTTTCTAATAATATGTCTTTTAAAAATTGATTTATATGGCTGGGTGTGATGGCTCATGCCTGTAATCAGCACTTTGGGAGGCCGAGGTGGGTGGATTACCTGAAGTCAGCAGTTAGAGACCAGCCTGGCTAACATGGTGAAATCCTGACTCTACTAAAAATACAAAAATTAGCCAGGCATGGTGGCAGTGCCTGTAATCCCAGCTATTCAGGAGGCTGAGGCAGGAGAATTGCTTGAACCCAGGACGTGGAGGTTGCAGTGAGCCAAGATCGTGCCACTGCCATTCAGCCTGGGTGACAGAGTGACACTCCATCTCAAAAATAAAAATTGAATTATGTATTTAATTTTGTTTTAATATATAAATATTATATTTAAAATATAGCTTATAAAATGTTTTTATAAATATATGTAAATATATCTTATATATTTACATACATATAATTAATTTGATTTATTTAGAACATATTTATGTTAAAAATTAATCTTTATATAGTTCAAAAATATTTCTCTCTACCTTTCTTTTAACTTTACTTATGGGTGGCTAATCAGCCAAAAGTTTGAAATTTTTATGCAATCAAATGTATCCGTTGTTTCCCTTATGAATTTTGATTTTATGTCTCGTTCAAAAATAATTTTCCTACTCCCAAGACTAGAAATATATTCCCATATTTCATAGATTTTTAAATAATTGTGGGTCTTTAACCTTCCTGGAATTTAATGTTATGAATGATATGATATTAGTAAACCACCACAGAAAATAGATGGCATGCTCAAAATGAGGTGCCAGAGGAAAGTTTAATAGTGGTCTATTTACAGTGGTGGGGGCA